TTTTTCATCAATTTTGATTGTTTTAAATTTCGCAAGAAGGTGGATGAAAAATAATTCTGATATTAGAAGTTATTCGTTGTCAGATGAGTAAAGGGTCCCAGGATACTACCTTAAGGTAGGCGACTTAAAGTCCAAGCTATACGTCGAATTTACAGTATCACTTAAAACAACAATTGTCGAATTTTTCTACTGGCAACTTTATTTGGAACATGTGGGAAAAAAGAAGACAACGAATAATTTTTAATAACATTTAAATTTTACAAGTTAAATGGATCACAATCTATCTTGCCACAGCATAGACGTAGCGTAATCTCAATCATTCTGGACGTGGCTAAAATCCCTGTCCATAGAAATTTTGCCTGAGAGGAAACTGTTCAAAAACAAACAGCGAAAGTTCGTACACGGAAAATGCAGGCGGGGACCCGACGGAATCTATTAGCCGTAACCTAACAGGGAAGGAAATTCCTTTTAATCTTTCCGTCCGTTCGAATTGCATACGTTTTCCGCGCTTTTAAATGTTTCCCGACACCGACCGTTGACTACCGATGCGACTAATAGAAGGGATTAGTTTTCGGGACCCGGGACAAACGAAACGTGTCTAGTTTCCGCAAATCGGGAAAGCTATTTCTTTGACGGCACCTACACGTTTGTTTTCTACCCTTGAGATATGTTCCGGGAACAATCCTATGTTCTCTTAATTGCAGATATTTTGTAAGTAGTTACTATGTCCGCCAATAATTTTTCCGAAGATTAATTTTTGAGCAATAACTTCGAGATTTCTTCCCGCCTATGAGTGTAAGGTAGTTGGCGAAGAATTCGGCAAAAGGTTCTGTACAGTGTTTTTATCAAGTTGTTGACTGCTACTGTCGTGATACATGGTGTTACTGTGAAAATACGTCCATTTGATAAAATTCCTTTGTTAATTTAAAATTATAACTAAACTGGTGAAGGAAATGGTCAAAACTAGCGTCGAGAAAATAGAGCAGTATTATTTTATTAGGAGCGTCTCATTAACAAAATTAGATGTGTTGATTTCTGTGCCTTTTACGTGAAACGACTAAATAAAATGTAAAAAGTCAAGAGAAAAGGAGTTAAGAGAAGAGAAAAATTGAAATTAAAATTTATAGAAAATAAAATAATAATAAAAAAATTACACCCTGCATAAACAGAATAGACTAAAAATAACGAGTTACAGTAGTTGCCGACATCGGTAAAGAAATAACGAAACTAGTCAAAATTAGGCAACTTCTTAAGTGTCCCGTATCAGCTGCCTTTCAGTTTGGTTTATTTCAAAAAAGGCTCAATATAGTCCGGGTCTAATTTCAAAATTAATTTTATAACAAATTGCAGCGTATCATTGTCAATTTTTTATTTGAAATTCATGAGCACCCAAACTTAGGATAGAATTAATGTTACTCATATAGGTCCATGATCCAGAATCCTAAATTTGAATAATAGCCATATGTAAAATCTTACTCGCCTTAGTCACTTTCACATTTCTCATAATAAAAATGACAATAAATTTTGTACTTGATGCGATTCTTGTAGTGTGAATAGTTTTTTAAAATACATAACTTTAAAGACATCCGGTCGCTGCCAAACTCAAGAGTTTCCGGTACCGTAAACTGCCGAAGTGGCTCGAGACAGAGAGAAATGAAACTGGCTTCATAAAGTGACACTGTGCGCATGCTTGGCCGGTACATGTTTCGATGTTATGGAGTTATCTTTTGTAAAATACCTAATTGTACACCGATCTAGCTTGTCGTATGTGTCATTTTACCCCGTTAGTTTCGTTTCCCACAGATCCGAGCCTAAAATTACGTAAAAGAGCGTATTTTTATCCCTCCTATGCCTAACATCCTTGAAGATCTACGACATCGAATTAAGGAACCAGTGAATTCCATAACCACAGACCACCTGATTCGTGTGTGGCAAGAGATGAGCCACCATTTTGACATTTGTAGTATAACGCACCATCCATTAACCTTAAAATCATGTTTCTATATTTTGTAGTTTAGAAGAAATAAATGTTTGCAATCAACCACAGACCACCTGATTCGTGTGTGGCAAGAGATGAGCCACCATTTTGACATTTGTAGTATAACGCACGATCCATTAACCTTAAAATCATGTTTCTATCTTTTGTAGTTTAGAAGAAATAAATGTTTGCAATCTGCTATTTCTTTTAGAATAACACAGTAAACTATTGACGCATTCTTGTCAGACTAAAGTAACAGAAATGTCCGAAGTAGCTCGTGGCAGTAAATAATTAAGTTGACGCCTTTAAGTGATTCTCTCGCATCCTTATGCGTGTTATGGGTATTATAAAATACGGAGTAGACAAAAACTGTTTTTGCCCAGTAATTTAAAACTTTTTGTCAGATTAAAGTACCAAAAATGTTCGAACTGAATCTGCAATAAATAATTTGAAAAGATTTAAAAAAATATTACGACACATCTGATAGAATTAGAACCTTACTCAATAAAAAACTATTTTGAGAAAATAATGTAAGAATTTTTATATGTTATGGTTAATTGTATAGCATCTCTAGATCTAGGTATTAGACGCTATTTCCGTTGTGCTTTTGTGTTTTGTAATATACTAATACAATTTTAAATAAAGATTATTATTATTATTACCTTAAGGTGATACTTTCTGCACTTTAGATCACTGCATATTTTGAAGTAGGGCGTTGAAAAAAATCAATAAACACACCAAAATTCCCCAAAAAATGGCGCATCGACCCTGTCAATCTATTAACCGTGAGATTTATTCAAATCGGTTCACCCCAAGGAACCGAAAACACCATAAAAGGAGTTCCCAATATTGCCGCGCGTGGCATAAATGTTTTAAAAAAAAAATTTCCCCAGGGTTCATATTTCACAACACACCCGAGTCGAAAATATCAACTATATATAAAATAAAACTTTTGCCCGGAGGAGGAGGAGGAGGAGAGAACGAAACCGAAAAGTTTGAAAACTCGAGCCGACAAACACGGAACATCCAAACTTATGTTTCAATGTAAGTTTCGTCTGACGCGGAGGCAACGAAAGGTGTCATCTTTAATTTTATTTGCGAGAGGGCGCTGGTGGGGCTGATACAACGCGGCGAATGCCAATGTCTTTCGGGATTGAATTATCAATGCAGAGACGACGACGTTTCTCATAAAAAAGTTTGATTTACTTTGCCGTTCGGGGTGCGGCTCGACAAAGTCTCAGCGTCCTCGTTGTTGAATTTGGAAGACGGCCTCCTGTGTGCTGAACTAACAATGAACCTTTTCTCTATCGCGTGCATAAAGGTTTTGAAAAGTTTCTCGATGCTCTCATCTTGATTATCCCCTCCTTTTTCATGAGCACTTTGTCACTTCTACCACTTTATCACGAAAAACAGGTGAAATACGAAAATGGGGTCGCGAAAAACTGCGCATTTTGTAGCCAATTTGGAAAAAGCTATATTAATTACACAAGAGAACTTATAAAAATTGTGTCAATAAGCAATACTAATAATCATTATCAAGTTTTTATTACTTTTTGTTCTAAATGTTACAATAATGAAAAAATCTTATATTTATAAATATATATATATATATATATATATATATATATATATATATATATATATATATGATGACACTATATTCCGGGATATCATCCGTTCGCTCATTGAACTCCGACTGGAATCCTGCAAATCTTGCATCCGACTGGAATCCTGCAGACGTTTCGCCAAAATCTCACTTGGCATCTTCAATGCTCGCGCTCCGAAAACACTTCGAACACAAATATATATATATATATATATATATATATATATATATATATATATATATATATATATATATATATATATATATATATATATATATATATATATATATATATATATATATATATATATATATATATATATACATATGAAGTACAATTCTACATCAGAATCTGAACTTTCGTCAACGATTTTCGGAGACATTCTTCGTATGTTTTGGGCACCCCTAGTATTTTTTAAAAAATATTTTGTATTATCCTAGGATTTTGTGTTTATATCCTGCAAGAATTAGAAGTCCTATCACAGCTATCATTTTAATTTCATCAGTTTTATACTTTTTTTATTTACTTTTGCAATTTTTTGCCTAAAATTTTTGATGTTGTAATTAAGAAACTATATTTCGCTTAGGTGTTTTGACATTCTTTCTGGTTAGTGTTTTTTTTATATCATTTTGATGTAACCTTTTCCCAACTAGTGCTGTTGATGCTCAATGAGCTGGGAATCTTTGTCTTCGCAGATATCCATCCTATCCATCTTCATCTTCAAAGAGCTGACTCAATGATATATATTTTCTCCGCAAGGTGCACCGCAAGAAAAGCCAACATTGTTCATGATTAGATTAAGATTTCGTTATCAACATCCGCTGGACAATAAAACAAAGCCCACAAGTGGAGGTCTAGGAACAAATTGATCAATCTCTAGATTGTGATTTTTCTTAGTTCGTAGGATTATACTAAACATTCGATTTGTCGTTAAAAAGGTACGCGGGATTTCAGCAGTGTTGCGAAACCTTTAAAAACAGTTGATGTGACTTTTGTGCTCCCCAGTGCGCAACTCAGAGTTAAAAGTACAAAATTGTATCCGACCTCACCACTTTTTTGGGTGATAGAAAGCAAAAAGTACTGTGAGTTTATTGTTACAGATTTGCTTACACGGAGAACTTCTTTATTGTCATATTATCTTGTAGCTTAAAATGTTTGTTATTATATGCATAAAGAGAATGTTCCTTAATGTTGAGTCTGTGTATTATTCTTGGAATAATTTTAAGAAAGAACTTCATATTAATGTATGTCTTTAAGGTTTTAATTTTTGAAAGACGATTCTAGATTTTGCAGTACCGAAGTCGATTGGACTGAGCCCGGTCCTATGTCAACCCTGTCTGTGTTCCAGGATCTCGAAGCTACACAAAGATCGCAGCGAGATCACAGACGCCGCCGATTTCAAAACGCAACAAATGATGTCAGGTGTGGGGTTCGCGACGGTAAAATTAGATATACAGCTCCGCGTAAGGCTTAACGGAACTTAAAATTTATTTCATACAAAATAAAGTCATTAACTATTTACACACCACTACTATTCACTATACTAATAATTTCTATAACGCTTCTCCGGCGTCTTTTTTCAACCGACTGGTTATCTTCCTGATACCGGTGTAGAGCTGAATTCCTGGAATACAGACAAGGATAATCCACGATTTGTTCGGCTTGATCATATACTTTTTTTAGACAGTGCATTCTGTGACGACATATATATTTTCTATATTTTCACCGATTTCACTGAATAGTCCTTTTTGTTTTATAACTGTTCATGATTAAAATAATAAAATTAAAAGTATAAATTTCACAACAGATATTTATAATTTTTGAAGATACAAATATGTTACAGTTTATAAATACGGTAAATTATACGAATTCGAAAATAGCAGCAATGCATTGCAACAAACAAATGCATCAACAGCACAAATTGATACCTTCAAATTGAGGGAGTCATACCTTGGATTTTTTGAAATTCAGCGATAAAGGATCACGCCATTTTTTATCTCTTTTAAATCTCCATAGACCACCGCCACAAGCTCTGTGATTGAGCAATCCATGAGGCACGTCCCCAGGTGGTGGATAGGGGAGCCCAGGCTCTCACGAATAGATATATCACCTTTAGGTTGGAAATGGGTGTGCTGAAACCTGTTAGAGTTAGGAACCCCCGGACAACAACAACAACTGGAAATTCTATAGGGAGAAGCTCGCTTGGCGCTCGCGAGGCCGCCGACCTCGTCAGCTCCGCGATGATACGGGCTTTCCAGAATAGTTGCCCGGATAGAGCGGGGAGGACTCCTCAGTATAGCTCTTCCCTGGAGCGACTCAGGAGGAGGGTGCTCAGCACAACGAAAAGCAGCAGCCTAGGTACTGACTGGGATCTCTATAGGGAGGTCCATAGACAATACAAAATAGAACTACGGGCATCACAGAGGAGGGCCTGGAGGGGCTACTGGGAAGAAGTAATGAACACCCCGGACGCGGCTAGGCTCCTTAGGGTACTCAGAAGTGACACGGCGGGAACACTGAGAGTGGTTCGCAGGATTGGCGGTGGCTATACAGCGGGACCAGCGGACATACGACAACAGTTGCTCACTACTTCCCAGGGTCCGCCGAACAGGACACAGTGGGGAATGCTGAAGCCGGGGGTCGTCCTAGAAGCGATTACGCCACAAGGAGGGGGTTACCCATAGTAGGCTGAGGTTGGCTATTAACATCGTTGGCCCATTCTCCTGACCAAGCCTCCATTGCGAGTGGATACGTGCCGGAGCTGTGGAGACAGCAGGGTAGTATTCATCTCCAAGGCAGGAAAGAACAACTACACGGACCCGAAGTCATACAGGCCCGTTTGCCTCACCGGTTTCATTATGAAAACTATGGAGAGACTTGTGGATCGGTGTCTGAAGGACTGGGTGGAGCTGGAAGCCCTATTAAAGCCAACCCAGCATGCGTACCGAACTGGCGCGTCTGCGCTCGGCTCTTTACCATCTGACTTCCAGGTTGGAGGGGGATCTGGGCTCGGGAGGGCTGTCGGTGTGCGTGTTCGCGGACATCGAAAGGGCCTTCAATAATACGGGCCTGTACCCGATCTGCAGGGCGGTGGAGCGTACTCAAGTGGGGATGGTCATTGTAAACTGGATCCACTACATGCTAACCGACCAGAGGCTGGGTGGGGAGCAGATCTCCATCGGCTTATCACGGGGCTGTCCACAGGGAGGGGTCTTGTCCCCCTTCCTGTAGTGCCTAGTCGTAAACGAGATGTTGCATATTCTGAGCGAAGAACACAGGGTTTATGCTCAGGCATATGCAAATGACCTTGTGATAATGACACAGAGGACGAAGGATGCAGGGGCATTGGCAAGATTCTCACAATGGTGCCGGGACGGCAAGTTAACTGTCAATCCTGGCAAGGTGAGGATAGTCATCTTCACCAGGAAACGGAAAGGAAGGTGGAGCGTAACCTCAACATTTAGATGGATGGAGTGCCTCTTTCTGCAAACGGAAACTTCAAGTACTTAGGGGAATGGTTGGACTCCAAGTTGACCTTCCAGGAACACATAAGATCAAGGACCAGTTCGGCTTTTGGAGCTCTGAGGGCGTGCCGGAGAGCGGTGGGAGACACTTGTTTCCTGGGGCCAAAGATCATGTATTGGGTCTACGGTACCATGGTGGTGCCTATGCTCACGCATAGGGCAGTGGCATGGTGGTCGGGGCCCAAAAGAGCAGCAGCAAGAATACTTCTTGATAAACTGCAGAGATTGACATGCCTCTGCATAACGGGCGCGATGAAGATGGCTCCCACGAGGACCCTAGAGGCTCTGGTAGGTGTGCCCTCTTTGGCGGATCGGGTGCGGGTGGAGGCGGTCAGGACGGCTGTAAGGCTGGCCAGCTGCGGGCTCTGGAGAGACAGAACCTTTAAACGGGACCCGTACAACATTTTAGAGGGCTGGCGCGGGGATCGCGGTGTCATGGACATGTCGAGTGACGTCATGATCCCTGAGATAATCTTCTTTGACAAATGGACCTTTCGCTTTCCATTAAGGGAAGAGTGGAGAAAGGGCAGAATTGGCTCCTGGGATGGGCTTGTCTGGCACATGGACAGGTCCACAATGGGAGATTTGGCCGGAGTTGGAGAGTACTGCTCGACAATGTGATCGAGCTTGTCGGCCCCTCTAGGTCAGTATTGCACCGTGTTTCAGGCGGAAATTTTCGCTATATTAATGGCTGCCAGAGAGGTGGTTCGGCTCAACCACGGTAGCACGGGAGTATTCTTCTGCTCTGACGGTAGGGCTACACTTATTTCGCTAAAGTCAGTACGCACACGCTCCTTGTTGATAAAGGAGTGCCAAATGGTATTGAGGAAAGTGACCGACGTGAGGAATGTCACGTTGGTCTGGTTCCCAGGTTACACTGGGATTCGGGACAATAAGGCAGCGGACGCCTTAGCCAGGGAGGGCTCTTCGCCCAGACATAAGGGACCAGAGCCCCGCTTAGTGATCGCACCGTGCGTGAGGCGGGGAGCTTTCGAAGCCTGGGTGAGAGAACGGGCCGTGGTGGGCTGGAGGGTTGCTCCGGGAATGAGGCAGGCGAGGCTTATGATAGATGGGGCCCGCCCTCCCTCGGATCAGCGAGCTGCTTGGACTGCCCAGAAGGGCTTACACAGGACATTGCAAGCTTAGGAGGCATCTTTGCTTGCTAGGCATTGGAGACAACCCGGAATGCAGGTGGTGCATGGAAAGGGAGGAGAGCCCATATCATCTGCTCACCGAGTTCCATGCTTTGACATGGGCAAGATTTGGAGTCTTCGGAACGGCCCTGATCGATCCCGACATAGTGCACGGTAATGGGCTAAAGGGGTTGCCGACCTTTTATAGGAAGAGCGGCATTCTATACGCCCTTTAGTGCGGTCTGAGGGCACAACGGTTCCATCTGGTGGAACAAGTGCTTAATACCACCGCCACAAATTAATCGACATCTACAGCATACCGTAGTCCACAAAAATTGTAAATTTAACAATATTTGAAGTTTTATAAGGCCATTAAAATAAAGAAAATACAAAACTACCCAAAGAAAGATTCTCTATAAACGAAATTTCAACAATATTAATTTTGCACAAACGGTCATTTGCGTTTTAAATTGTATGATTTTTACAATAGCAGGCCATGCATTTATTTACTTTTTTTAACTTACCAACATTGCTTAACCTAAAGCTAAAAACAAAAATACATTCAACATATCCATAATTCAGTTTTTAATCGGTTTTTTATGCTAGTGGGGTTATCATTCTAAGAATCGATCTAACAAATTTATTAAAAGCACAGATTTTTATTCAAATATTTTAGTCCAGGAAATCAAAGCAAATATCCACAAAACGTCAATTTTTTCCAAAAAAAAAATTAAAGTTTTACATAGTTCTTACCATTTCCACGAATTCCACATATATAAACTTAATTTTTTACTTAAAAACATATTGGTATTTAAAATTCTACCTAAAGTCAATTTTTAAAATATTCGCACCTGCTTTATTTTGAGTGTTCTGTAACTTCTCTCCAGGCGATGAATTTTAAGGCAAATGTTAGTCGATAGAAAGGTACGAGGTGTTTTCATCGAGAAAATATCTAGCAAACAGTTCGTAGGAACCATGAGTTTCTAAGAAATAAGTGCTCTTTTCCAGTATGAATTCAGGTTTGTGGAGTAAACAAATATAAATAAAATAATTCATTATTGATTCATTAAGTGTGTTTCTGAGATAAGTCCCTCCTTCTCCCAAATTCACCAACTTTTTATTCACTATCTTTACCTTTACCATCCTAATTTTTCGTTAGTTCGATAAGTCTACCAACCTAAAATATATTTTCATCTTCATATCAGCCAGTAAAATATTTTTTTATGTAGGCGTAGTTTTCACATTGGATCCATCGAATACCCTTTGCCAAAGATAAAAATTGTGTAATTCGTGCGGCCAGAAGATCCCCGCTTGCGTAAAACAAACGTCCCTTTTCTAAAGCCCTTCCTCTAAAGTAAACAAAATCTAAAAGCCCGACGAAGGGAGAAACAAGAATACACCTCCCGTTTGAAACAAAGTAAATCGCTTTTGATAGGCCGTAACTCTTTAAGTTTCCGCAATCTGACAGGGAAGTATGCTCACTTCACTTCCACCGAATAATGCCTTTTTTATGCGTACGTCTCTCGGTTTCGCTCCTCTTTTATTTTTCATTCCCCAACACCATAAATAACGCGCCTGACTGCCTGACTCTTTATTATGTACTTTTCAACGGCAGTCGCTTTTTGCTGTTTTTCATATTCGTCGCGAGAGTTGTCTCTTTCCAAGGACCAAGTTGACGGCCGATACGTCAAAACTTTTTTTTATTTGACTGCGAACTTTCCGCCGATTTATTTTATCTAGTCGGCGACACGGGAAACAACATCAATTTTGTATGCCCCGAATCAGAGAAAAACAAAAGTGGATATCAAACATTGTCTGAAACTCGATTTGTTAGTTAACCCATAAGTGCCATATCTTAATTGTTTCTGTCACGGCACTAACATAAAATTTTAAAAATATCTAATTTATGAACTGTAAGCCGACATGGTTGACGCCGCAAGGGTCTATAATATGACCATAGTCTCGTAGTGTCAAAGTTTTATTTGTTTTTGTTCTTTCTACATAATTTCGCTGTTGCTTGTAGGGGACACTACGTACATGTCTTTTGCCACTTTGAAAGGCCCATGATTTTTTGTATTATATGTTATGTCTCAAAAACTACACTTGACATCAAAAATCCACAATTAATTAATGCATTAAGGATTAATACCAACAATAAAACTTGGGGACCCTCATTTTTTCTGCTAGCATGGCGTATATATATATATATATATATATATATATATATATATATATATATATATATATATATATATATATATATATATATATATATATATATATATATATATATATATATATATATATATATATATATATATATATATATATATATATATATATATATATATATATATATATATATATATATATATATATATATATATATATATATATATATATATATATATATATATATATATATATATATATATATATATATATATATATATATATATATATATATATATATATATATATATATATATATATATATATATATATATATATATATATATATATATATTTTGGACCGATCTGTATTTATTTTTTAAAAGTAAAGTTTTTTCTGGGGTAAGGTTAGCAAGAAATAAATGCACCGGTTTTAATTCATTGAAATATATGACGTTTCGACCATAAACTCGGTCTCTCTCAAAAAATCTAAAATCGACGGACTTCTGTAGAATACATAATCATAAAAATATTAAAACCGGATGAAAAAAGAAGCAACGTGGTGTATGAAATCACTTGTTCTAACTGCGATAGCGTTTACATAGGACAAACAAGCCAATATTTGAAAAATCGAATAAATGGACATAAATTTTTGTCAAGTCCAACAAAACAGCCATTCACACACATAGCAAAGAAATTAAACATGCATTTAATTTCCAAACAGTAAGAATACTGAATACAGAACGCAACGTTAGGAAAAGAGAATTGTACGAATCAATCGAAATCCAAAAAAACAAAAACTCTATAAACTATAAAAAATATATATACTATACTATTTTAAATTAGGGTGTGTAAAAGAATAACTAAAAAAAAAATAGAAAATGGTAATAATGACGTACACACTTAACATTAATTTGCCGCTTTGCTTTGCTTGCCAAACTCAGTCCGTACGATAAATTCATGGACGTATTATGTGTACAAATCTATGTTATTTCCGTATTTTATTTACACAATGTAACGTCGAAGTATCTGTTTTAATTAACTAAATGTTTCTTATTTGTGACAACTCTTTCTAACTTAAAGTAAGGGTAAGTTTTAATGTTTTTACGCTTATGTATTCTACAGAAGTCCGTCGTTTTTAGATTTTTTGAGAAAGACCCAATTTACGGTCGAAACGTCAATATATTTGGACCCCAAGGCCCCAAGAATCTTTAAATTATATATATATATATATATATATATATATATATATATATATATATATATATATATATATATATATATATATATATATATATATATATATATATATATATATATATATATATATATATATATGATGACACTAGATTCCGGGATTTCATCCGTTCGCTTATTGAACTCCGACTGGAATCCTGCAGACGTTTCGCCAAAATCTCACTTGGCATCTTCAATGTGTTCGAAGTATTTTCGGAGCGCGAGCATTGAAGATGCCAAGTGAGATTTTGGCGAAACGTCTGCAGGATTCCAGTCGGAGTTCAACAAGCGAACGAATGAAATCCCGGAATATAGTGTCATCACATTTTTCCATCCGTGAATCAATACGTGAAAATACAAATATACAGGGTTTTTCACTTAAAACTCCGCACGCCAATAAGTCCAAAACGAAAAGAAATATTTAATTTATGTAAAAAGTAGTCAAAGTGTGGGGTCAAGTAGATATTTCCTAAAGTTTAAAAAATTCGACGCCTGCAAAGAGCTGGGCGTCGCGACGCGTCGAAAAATTATTCGATTGCAGAGACTTTGGAAATACGCGCATACAAAAGTACATATTATTTAAAAACTTTTTTGTTATTTACTCAAACTTATTTACTTTACCCGTTTCTAAGTTATACCGATTTAAAGTAAACATTTCTTGATTAATAAAAAATGTGATTAACGCTTATTTTTACAAGTATGCCATGAATGTTAGTTACTATTGCAACCATTGTTATCGCAGTTGTTTTAAGTGCGTACTTTTTTTCCTCTGAAAATTATCCAGTCTGAACGCTTTACGGATACCACTGGTAATTAAAAAAAACTGCCTTTGCGATAAAAAAATTAAAAGCCTTAATCAAATTATGATTTTAAAGAAAATCATTGGAACTTATTTAACACTTATCTCGTAAACAAGTTCACTATCGCCATTTGTTTAAATGAAATGTTTTTCTAAAAAATACCACATTAATGGCACGTTGAAATATAGAACACCAAACGCTATTAATTTATTTGACCTTGTATCGTGTTTTATATTAACTTTTACTATTTTGCCGCAAATGTAGTATTCCGAAAACGAAGATAAATTTATACACTTTTTCATGGGTTGCAAATCACTTGCATTTGGATTTAGCAACTAATTAAAACCGCTGCTTACCATTTTACAAAATTAAAAAGGAGCATCAGCAGTTAGAGCAACGTCTTCTTATCTGCTTACAAACAGAGGATGCGTTCTAGTTACTAAATAACCGTAATTCCTCAGCGTTGGATTATTGTAATCCTAGCTGCACAGGCACTTAGGACCGCAAATTGTTCCTTCACGTATCAGAACGTCCACTCTTTGGTTTATGGTGTAGATTTCTGTTAGCAAATTATTGTCCGTAACAGTTTCCGTTTACTTTGGATCTCTGTTGTAACGGATCAAGCGCTACGGGTTGGAATTCACATTACGGACGGATTAAGATAATGAGACGGCAAATGTGGCGTATGAAGGCTATCGCATCGTCTTCGCCCAACACCGGTTCCTCCGCTGACATAAGATACACGGTTAATTTGGCTCGCCAAAGTTGCAGGGTTGCCGAGATTTACATATCCTTTGTAGTTAAGTGACGACAGAACTAGTAAACCGGAACGAAAATTAACAACGTAATACTCCAAACCGAACTAGATTGCCTGTCGAAATTCACGACCGGTTACGTTAATTAACCTGTTACCGTCGCCGGTCCTACGTTAGCTTCGATGAGAATTTGCGTAATTTTATTAATTCCTAGTTCTCTATTGGTTGTTTCGTCACGTTGCCTCTGAAATGCCGTTTACGCGTTATCCGCTATTTGGCAGTATGGTGGACAAAAAGTAAAATCGAAAATATACATGACTTTTTAGAGGAAAAGTGATGTAATGCGCTTCCCGTTCCACGATTTTGATGTACACGTGAAATGGAATGGAAAATTTCAGTATTTAAAGTAGATAGATTACAAGAAGGCATTTAGAATTTTAAGTTAATAGGAATAATAATAATATACCTTTATTTAAGGTGTATATATACATTAAATAGTATGAAAAAATAACCATAATTAACCATACATTATTTAATTTACCCACAACATAAATAACGTGCGAATCCCAAGTCAACATATTGTACAGAAATATCCCCAAGGATTTGTTTGTATTTTTTACTTCTAGCCATGGATATTTATAGTTTTGGTTCCACTACTTTGCACGCGTTCGTCTTGAATAATGTTATATTTACTTTGTTATTATGTTCAACTGATTTCATAAAGTTCCTGGCAGTGTCCTTTAGAATATTTATATTTATATAGTGTCAACTAAGAAAAAAGGTTTATGGTCCGCATAGTTCGTTATTTTGCAATTTTCTACTAGTGTTAGCAATTCTGTTATGTTATTTATGTAAATTATAAATCAAATAGGACCAATGGCGCTTCTTTGTTGGGTTGTCAACGCGACAAGAACGGGGCCTGATATCCCTCGATCCCAGCCTGTACATATAAATATATAGATAAAGACACCCGAATAATAGAAAAGCTGTACTGGGGACAAACAGCTGGAGCAAAAGCCGGCACTAATATCAAAATTCAGGTGTGAACGTTTTGCTTAATGCTTACTCCGATACAATTTTTTTTAAAGTCTTGTGGCGTACAGAGTTAAGATGAACGGCATTCTTTGAATACCATTAGCTTTGCTGATGAGACTGTCATCATAAGCAACACCATGAATATCTGACAACAATTATTAAACAAAAATCAGGATAGTTAGTTAAGAGTTCGGAATAAATATAAATGTTAAAAAAAAGTGTCTGACTTTTAAATAGTAGCCTGATGGGAGAGTAATAGAACGCAGCTTAAATATTTGTGAACAGATACATTAGACCCAAAAGTTAAATGAGAACACTTTTTTGCGACGATAACCTTGACCTTAAATTTCGGCAGTGTATGGTGAAGTGCTCTATTTGGTCAGTTCTTAAATATGGGGTGGACCTTAAAGTTAAGCCCAATAATGCGGCTAGAAGCATTTGAAATTTGGATTTACCGTAGAATGCTGCATGTTCCGTGGACCGACCTGCTGACCAATGATGAAGTGTTGAGATGAGCCAGGGAGGAGCGACAAATAATTGTAATGGGAAAATGACGCGAAATTGCTGACCTTGGCCACATCTTACGTGGATAAAAGTACCATCTTCTTGATTTAATCGAGAAAGTAAAAATAGAAGGCAAGCGGGGTAGGGGACGAAGACAAAACATCAGGGAATGGACGGGCATCCAGAAAGCTGCAGACCTCCTCAGCCTTGCGGAAGACAGAGCCGCGCTCTCTGCAGTAATCGTTTACGTTCGGGCGAACTGGCATGGCACTTGAAGAAGAAGAAAACACGATTGTAGTTTGTAGAAATGGGCTTTAATTATTACTAATTAGTGGAAGTATAGTATTAATTAGTGGTAATATTAAGTAATTTGAACAAATTTTGAGGTAACTAGGTGGATTTACGTGGTAATAAATGATATAAAGCACACGAAGAAAATTCGGAAATTAGATTCTGCCGAAATTGAAAAATATACTTACTATGAGATAGGGAAACATAAGATGATATATTGGAAAAAGATAGAGCATGGGTTGTTCTTGCACAATTTTTTTTCCAAAATTACGTAATACCCGCACAAACTAATATACTTACATACCTACATCTCAAAAGGCGAAGTTTAACTTAAGATCCTGATCTCAGCTGCTCAACATTTCTCGAATATTACATTAACAATAAACCGGCAGCTATAGTAATAAGAGTGTAAACATTAAACATTTTAACAAATGCACCCTAATTTTCTTCCTTAATACTAGAACTGATCAAAATATGTACTATAATATTATAAAGTTTAACCGCAATATAGCTAAAACAGCGTTGAATTTACAAGAACTGGACTGGGGCATATCCAGAACATTTTCTTCCTTAGAGAGACACCGCAAATTTCATATCGAACAAAAACACACACAACGATGCTTTAATTACGTTGGTAAAGAATATTTCGTAACCTTAAATTTAAGAATTGCTAATAAAAATTGAAAAAGCCTTTTCAATTTACATTTTTTTCCTGATATACAAACGTTGTTAAACATTATTTTAAAAATTCGTATTGTTTGTACTTATTATCCTCGAAATGTAGGTCAATTAATAGATAGAATATTCAGAAAGTTGTGTTTACGTACCTGTAGAAACAAGACCATCGCGATGGTGATGACAGTGTTGTTAGTTTTTCGAGTATCCATAACAACAACGGTTCGATATACGAGGATTGAGTTTTGAGCACGACACTTACCGGTGATAGCGTCGTCATAATCCAAATTACACCGTAATGGACTCTTCGATGCACATTAGACAAAATTAATGCTTTTAAGAGTCAGCGCTAGCGTGTCCTCTTTTGACCACAGGTCCTGAGGTACTGCCCGAAGATTATTGCTCACCAGTCTTACATTAATTTACTCGAAGATAAAAGCTTTCTTCAATAAAACAAATAGAAGAAAAGAAATAAAATAGTTATATTCGAGATTGCCTATATGCTATAAGTAAAAAGACGGACATTTACTAGTAGGAGCCGTTTCATCCATTTCAAAAATATTTAATTAACTTAATAATTTAATTTATTTATTGTTAAGTTTAAAAATACATATACCCCATGTTATATAAGCCCCATACACCATATACCGGCCTGTATGTTAATATTTTTTCGGATCCCAAGCTGTTGCCACTACATGTAATTTATTAGTCTTAGGGAAGCAAAACGAGTTATACGTACTAATAGTGTATTATACAACAAGTGTAGTAAATGGCATTTGAGTCACGAGTGAGTTTACCAAACGTGTTGCTACTACACTTTTTATAAGACCGTTAGTTTTTCGGTAAATTTTTGCAAAACAACACGAGACGGCAGAATTGACAAACGTCGTGCGGTAAAATCTCCGAAACCATCCGATTACTGCCCAACCCGTGCGATAATATCGCGGAAATATCCGTGGCTCTGATCTGTGGGGCAAGAAACTCACATGGAAAAGGGACGCGTTTCGCAAGCTAGATCGGAATATAATAAGGTATTTTGTCTACTCCCTTCTGTAAAATACCTAGTTACTTCGGACATTTCCGCACGGGTTTGAGAGTAATCGGATATTTTCGGAGATTTTACTCCACGGCTTGAATTTTGACGTTTATCAATTCTGTGGTCATGTCAGTGAATGTTGTTTTGCAAAAAAACTCGTGAGTCAAATTCCGTTTATAGCACTTGCATAATATGCTATTACAGACGGGAGCAGAGAAAACCATTCTCCAAGAATCATCAACCTGGCGAAGACTTCCCTTTTAGATGTCTAAGATATTGTTGCAAACACTCAAACATTTAATTTTTCAAAGAAACTTCCACAGACTACTGTAATGCATTTTACAAAACTTCTGGATTCCTCCTGCGTCAGATTTTGCTTAGTCGAAATTGCTGACGTTTCGCCAATCATCCTGTTGGCTTCTTCAGAGTTTCAAGCTGATGATTGGCGAAACGTCAACAATTTCGACTAAGCAAAAACCGACGCAGGAGGAATCCAGAAGTTTTGTAAAAAGCACTCAAACATTTAATTTTGATATAGATATGGCATAAATTATATTTCATATATCTTACAGGTGCATTTATTCCAAATTTGGAAATTGGAAGAAGGAAACGAACACAAAGGTGCATTGAGGCAAACATGGAATATAAATACTGTTTATTTGCTGCTTATCGATCCCTGTACAAACCATATATGACTCTGTCTAAGAATATTATAATTTTGCACTTCGTCAATCAGCCTTAAATTTGGTTCCACCTACAACTGCTACAAATTTTACGTTTATTTACATATTTACTATAAATGCCGTTTAAATTAGAAGCTTGTGGCTTCATGAATTGAAATACTTTTTAAATATTCGGACGCACCCTATTGGATCACAACATTTATAAGCAGAATTTCTAATACATCAATTATTTAAAAAACCAATTAAATTATGGATTAATCGAATCAGTGTCGCCGCTTTTTTATTAAAACAAATTAACAGGAAAATTTAGAGTCAAACTGTACATGGTTTGGCTTTTACCAATAATAATTCTACATATTAAGAATATAATATTGAATAATAATATTTACAGAAATGCGTGCAATATTAAGTCTAACATTATTATTATTGAAAAGCTGGGTGATATTTACAAATTTTGATGTTATACGGTACATATTATTGGGAGCATTTAAAAAAATATTTTTTTTAATATTGCCAGAATAAAATTTATTTAAAATTAAATACATAGAAGACGAAGTTCAAAACTGTGCAGGGAAATTAGTTTAAAAGGATAGAAACAAAAATTGTATTAATTGCTTCAGGTGGAAAAATTAAATTCCATCATGGTAGATTATACGTGGTCTTTTCAAATATTTTAGAACAAATCTATTCGGAGCAAGTTAGACAGCATAAATTATTGTGTTACTTTTTTAGTTCATCTATAGTTTACGCAAAAAATATAGAGCAAGCCCACAAACTGATAATATGGCGGCGGTGTTGGAGAACAAGCGTTAAATGTGCTGATGCCGAAAAAATCTTCCATTGAGCTAGGCTCTGAAAAAAATGTACCATAAAGGTCGTATCAGTCATCTATCGTATGTATCGAAGAAAGCAATAGTAACAAATAAATATAAAATATAAAACTCACCATTTTGTTCGAAACTGCTTCGGATATCTGTTGTATCTGAAAAAAAAAAAAATTTCATCTTACAAATGGTTTTGTGATTTAAATCTGAAGATTTTTTTTCAGTAGTAAATCCATAGTATCAAAAGTAATAACGACATTAACAATTTTCCGATGCAAGAAATTGACCGGGTAACTTCTATAGAATTTTTGAGTGAAAAGTTACTAGTATAAAGTCTGAGAGTGAGAAACGATATATAGGTAGCGCCTCCTGCAAGTCAGACCTAAATTAAAAACAAATTCAAATTCAAATTACTTCGAAGAAATCTCCAGGTAGCAAATTTCGTTCAGAAATGGGCATTATTTACGAAGTTATGCAAAAAAAAACAAATTCATTTTTTTTTATTATTATTATTTATTGTTTATGAGAAATTGCATTTTTACAACAAGAAATCCCCATCGGACGATGCTAAAGAAAACAAAATGGTAAACTAATAGAGATCTAATTATAGTTTTATTTTTACTCATTTTTTGGAAAGGCGCTGGTTTTTAATATATTTATAACAAGATACGCAAAAACTTTTTGACTCACGTGAGTCCAATTTTTTAAAAGCGGTAATAAAGGTATTATTATTAGAAAACCCCACGATACGGAGAGCATTATACATGGGGAAAGTCAATAGAAGGTGGTAAATTGTTTCAAATTGTTTGGTGTTACACGTGGAGCAAGTCTGAAGAGCAGTCTTTTAATTATGCGATAATTTTTAAAACGGACATTGGCAATTGGAAATTTAAATAGATGGGTAATAGATCAGAGGGTGCAAAGCCTCAGTAAAAATTCATGTCGTGTGAATCGACTTCAATGTTGATAGCTGCTTCAAAAAGTTCTCATTTAACACATTCTAAGATGTCATACTTTTGCCGTCTGATGGACTGCTCCACCACTCACCATAACCCAGCTCACGAAACAGCTCTCTAATCTGACATGCCCAGTTGAATTTGGTGTGCCCTGTGTTATTGATTAGAGATTGCTGGGGATTAAAACACAGTTTCGGGAGACGACTCTCGTTCATTCTTAACATTTTCATAAGAAAGCAGGGGCAAGATTTAAATTAAGTAATTAATTAAATTAAGTGTGTGAAACCTCTTTCAAGGAGAAGCAAAGCACCTGAAATTGATTTAGGAAGTAACAAAATCTTTTTAAGTATGTCGGTATAACCTATGCCCTAAACTGGAAGACATCTGGAAAAAACATTTAGTATGTTTTTTTGGTATATTTTTTGAATTGCGTCCCAAGATTATAGCTGACTCCCTCTCTCTCAGCATCGCTGCGTGACTCGCTTTTGAAACTGTTCTGTCTACCAGTTCTCTAAACAAAGAGGAAAAAGGGAATGCCATAAAAATTACTAAAGAAGAGCTATGGCTGGGTTTCTGAAAGGGAGTTACTAAAGCACATAACTTTAGTTTTTTGAGCATTGATTGTAAGAGAATTTTCGTTTGCCTACCTGGCCAGACAAGTCAACATTTTTTCTGTAATTGGCCCTCTGATTCAACTAATAAAGCGTCTGCGGAGGTCAGTAAGTTGAGGCTATGAATCGCGTCAATATTAATTTTTACTGTCGCCACTTCATAAAGGCTTTTGATTATTGAAATATACCTAGAACTAATGCCGGCGTGATACAGCTTGTTCCAAAGTAGAGTATGAGTGATCGAATCAAAAGTTCGTTTAAAATCAACGAAAGCTACAAAAACCTTTATTTTTTCGGTCTAAGTTGGAGCTAAATTACCGAAGATAAAACATAAACGCCGCGTCCAGAAAACCTGACTGAGATTCGGGAATTGCGTGTGTTCTTTCTGCCCAGTTCAAGAGCCTTTTTAACAAAATTCTCGTAAATAGTTTTGCGGTGCAACTAACGATAGGGCGATAATTTGTGGAATCATCAAAGCTGCTTTTTTGTGTAACATAGACAACAGCACTTGACCCCAAGATGAGGGGACCGTTCGAGACTGAAATATGTTATTAAATAGTGAACGTAGATACAATAACCAACTATCCGGTAGATTTTTTAAAAGTTCGCACGGTATTAGATCTATACCTATTGGACATAAATTGTTTTAAAATTGTTTTGATATCATCGACAGTTATACTAAAATCAAGTAAAGGATCTGAATCGTTGAAGAAGTGTGTGTCATCTATAACACGCGATGTTCAGAAATCGGAATTATTTAGAAAGTTATGAAAAAAAAAAAACAAAATCAAAATTAAAACCCCATAACTCGAATACGAATCGTTTTACACCGCAACTCGTTAACACCTTATGAAAATAGCACCCTGTATAATGCATAGAAAGGAAAACGAATTATTGACTTTGGCGCGCAATTCACTTCTGATAATAATTTACTATTAACTCAAGTAGAGAAAACAGTATTTAAAAAAGCGACCAAAACATTATTACTTACCTCGGTCGGTAGTTTGAAATGCAAAAGACTTGGACACGGGACTCCATCCGAATTTGTTCCGGGCTTGAACTTTGGCCTCGTAATGTTGTCCGGCTTCTAGTCCGCGGATAACGTAGCTCATTGATTGCATTCCGTTGCTGTACGTCCGAGACGCCGGAAGGATTACATTGCTCCAGTCGGCACGCCCCCTGCTGTTGGTTCTGCCATAACCGTACCCCACGCTATAACCCACTGCCGAGTACGTTCGGTTATCCTGGAAGCAATCAAATGTCGTTTTCATCCGTCTCGCGATTTGAAGGAACGAGCTTACTCGAAGTGGGAATCTTCTTTGACTTTGGTGGTGCAGCGGCTGGGGATGACCGTCTTCTCCGCTCGAAATGCCATCGGGAAGTCTCCTGAACAATAGCTGGTATTCTTCTATCGGACTCAAAGACTCTACCGCCCAGCTTATGTTATAACTCTCTTTGTAGTTGCCGACGGACGGGCTTCTGAAAATCGCAGCTTTCGGTGTTCCTGTAACAGTAAGGAATGACAAATATTGTTATGCCGATGTAGAAGGATTTTTATGAAATTTGGGTAGTTGTGGTTTGTTTGTTAGTTATGTTTGCTTCCAGACAAAACAAATTAGTGCCTCACCGTGGTCTAAGTCGCCTGAAAACCAGTCGTAATAGGTAAATACAAAATTCCTGTCTGGGAATTTCAATAAAAAGGTCAATTAGTAGAGGGTCCAGCCTACCCCTCAACAATCGGGAAGTCCTTAGATATTTGCCTTTTACCACCTTAATTTTGAATGTAATTTAGTGCTTTTCAAGAGTAGTAGTCTTCAGAGACTTTTAGATTGTGACTTTCTTATAAAATAAAGTGAACTAATTTGGACCGAAGTTATTTCCTAGTATGTATGTTGGCATTATGGAACCAACTCCATCAGGTATGTAAATTTTATTTTTAGTTATTTAAAATGGGTAACGTAAAAAATACGTATTTATTAAATTTTTCACTGATTCATTAGGTCCAAATGTGGCATATACCAGTAAATGCCGCACATATTAGGATTTGAACAGAATGACTTAATATCTCTTAAATTTGGTGCAGTTCTGCAGCCAGTTGCCCCTCCAGCCACAGCTGACAGAAAACGCGTTAAAAATATATGCATAAATATATAATGGTTGGTACGGACTGATATTTTAATTTTGAAAAAACAATTAAAATAATGTTGAACACCCTGTATATAAAAGAATAAAGCAAGAATCCGATTATATTGTAATGATTTTCTCGTTCTAAAATTCTAAAATACAGATTTCCCAAAATATAATATACTAGATGCAATAGTGATATTTTGGATAGAAAATTAATATGTTTCTTTGTTGGTGAAGGACCGCCTAAGAAACGGGTTGATTATCTTGGACGTAATGGAAAAATCAGACAGAAGTTAAGTCAACACATGGAAAACAAGTATAGAAATCGCGCTTTTACCAATTTCTCGTGTAAAAACAGCGGAAGAAGTTTTCAATAGATTTCTTGTATCGTCCGATCCTCACATCTCTAGCCTTCGGAAGCTTCCAAAGAAAAAACTGAAACATCTTTCAGCTGAAACCCTACAAACGTTAATATCGAGCGGTTCTCAAGATGACTTTCAAATTGATTCCGAGTTGAGTGAGAGTGATTCAGAATAATAATTGGTTACTAGTCATTAATTTACCTTAATTAGTAATAATTAAATTTCGAGTAATAATTTGTAAATAGTCCTTAAATTTAATTTAAAATTTATAAGTATATATAATAATTATCATATATATAAATTTAAATTTAATTAAAAATACCTGAATACTTTTAAGTAAATTGGATCGAATTATTTTTATTACAATTATAAATGAGATAGCGAGAAGGGTCAAAGTTTAAAATACCCTCCAGATGCCTAAGAAATATTGAATAATCTGTGACAATTAAGGCACAATTTGAAAATATTTTCTAAATCTGGTTTCTCAATATAACCTTTATAATTATTATTTATTACATTACATTAGCAATTACAAATTAGCAAAATGTCTGCCATCTTGTAAATGACTTTTTTTTTATCATATTAGGGATCAGAGAGCTTATACTAATTTTGGTAAAAATACAACAGTACTGGGATTTTTGACCGAAAATTTAATAATAATTTTTGAGACCACCGTGGCCTCTAGAAAAGAGCATTAAAACAATTACAGGAATGAGGTAGTAAAAAAATCTTAAGAAATATTTCATATGATCCCAGAACTATCAAAAACTAAGCGGAACCAATCGGAACTGAATAAAACAGAACAATCCAAAGTGGTAGAAGATTTTTTGTTTATACTTCAATCAGATTTTCAAATATGAAACGTGCAATTAGAACTAAGCACTAAGCATAACAAAATAAAACCTACCAGCACTAACCAAAACTGACCGCTACTCAGCAAAACTAACGAAGAGTGACTGAAAGTCACTCAAATCGGAAGCGGAACAAAACAAAACTAACAAGAACTAAAACAAAATTAACCAGAACTAAAACAAAACTCACCGATACTAAGCGAAACTAACCGAAACTAAACAAAACCAACCAAGACGAACCGAAACAAACTTAAAACTGACCAAAACAAAGTTAACCAAAACTACCCAAAGCTATCTAAGCTATCCAAGTCTGTCTTTAGAAACAAAACAACCATTTCCCGCTAAAAATAAATTTATTATTATTATTATTATATTATATTATTAGCGGCACACACTAACCAAAAAACATATTCGAGCTGTTTTTCCGCAGTTAATTTTTATTATACGCAGATAAACCCCAACGTAAAATATATCGCAAGCCGCTGCACTCGGACAAATTGCAACTGATTAGTAACGATTTAGTTTGGGCCATGAGGGCAACAAATGCGGTCGTAAAGCAAAATGGGGTTATTCCACAGGACTCTCTCATTCCCCTTGATTGTTCTTTGCAACACACATAAATCTTAAGGGATAATTGGATGCTGTTTTTTGCTTGCAATGCAACACAGATGATGTCTGTCGGTTTATTTCCTCTATTTTGACGCGTAGTGTTTGGATGGCAAATAATTTCGGACAAATGGCTATCGATTTGATATTGTTAAATTACTAGAATTACTGGTGGTTTTAGCTATTTTTAAGGCTTGTTCTTTGTTATCCGAGAAAGTGAAACGGCACTTTCAGAAACTAGCGGAATCACATATTTTCAATTGGCAATTTAAATAACTGGATTACAATTATAGTTTGCTTTGATTTCAACAAGAAAAATTAAAAACTTCTTGTAGTTCACTTACACTTCAAATTCAGAATTTTCCCTTTCCCAGTGAATGCGTTGAAATACAGAATGAGATCTGCGTTGGGCAAACATTTTTAGATCAAGCAAAACTACTGATGTTTATCATTAAAATGTTTGAATAATAAGACGAAAAGCTATTGATTATGTGATACAAATCAACGGTTTATTTATTTATTTATATTTTACAGGTCATTCAACGCGCAGACGCAGCTAACCCATTACAGAATGGCACAAAATGGGGTTATACTATTTAACAAAATCCGGAAAGTGATCAATCAATTTCTTATCTCTATAATAAAAACAAAGGTTAGATTTATATCAATTATAACTACAAGCGAAAGAAGTTTACATACGTTTGTTTTAAATAAACAGAGGCTTAAGTTAAACATTTCTATATCTATGCCGTTTTGAAAAACACAATTATTACAAGTACAAGTACATCTACGACCTAAATCGCCCAATAGAAAACGCTAATCTCGTTCGCACCTGATACCACCATTTACAGAAAAAGAAAAATCCACAAGGTTATTCACCACTTTGTATAGAAAAGCCTCATCGAGACATCAAAACAATTTCTTCGAGTTTCAAGTTAGTTCAAATTTTCAAATGCAAACTTTTCTGCGTACTAGTAAAAGTGTCGATCTCTATAGTTTAAGTTTTCAAGGTTTTCTATGCTTTCTATTTTGGTGATATATTTACTATAAATAGGATTTCAAACGGTGTGACTGAATGCTGAACCCTTTGGTAGTTCTTAAAATGAAGCCAGATTTCTCAAACATTTTTTAACAGTTTCGATATGATCCTCAAAGTTTAACTGGGAGTAAAGAACAGTTCCCAAGTCGTTTAATCGCTAAACACTGTTTATTCTCAAGCATTAAGTTAATATCTATAAAAACCTTTTTCCTTGTAAATAGAATATATCGACATTTATAATTTAAGGCGGTATTTAATTTAATTGATTTGAATGTAGATTACAGTGGGAATAGTTACATATCGTTAACCTGATTGCACTTTACAGAAAACAAATTCTGATCAGAGCAGTAGAAAAAACTATTCAAACTCTGTATTTCATTCTGGTCTCTCCATCTCTTCGAATTTTTTTTATTAGTAAAATAGTATCGAAAATCGAACATCCAGCAGAGACGTTCCCTAAAATGCCCTCCCAATTTCTTTTCTCACAAATAAACCGTATTAGGCGGTAAGTCTTACCAGTCAGCTGAATGCTCTTCCTTGTTTTTCCCAGCTGGTTGTCGGCGACGCAAGTATAGTTCCCGAAATCGGATCGATGCACTTTTCGGATAACAAGCGTGTGCCTGGATCCTCGGGATTCCATTATCCGTCTTTCCGTTGTGTCCAATTGCATCGTATCTCGATACCATAAAACCTGGAACAAATATATTATACACGTCATAAATTTTATCACGACATGTCCGCAAATCCGACAGAGGATCATTTGTCGGAGGTTTTGTCGGTCGCCGACACACGGACCTTTAATATGTTGTTTTTTAATTAAAAACGTCGAGTTTTCAAAACAGAACGTAGTTTTCTAAATCGCATTTAATACTGTAGCTTATATCAATTTCACAAGGTGCCTGGATGTGGGACCAACAACGCTAGACAGACATTATTATAAACATTGAGATAGGACACTGCAGAGTTAAAGTGCTTAGCGTTCAAGATACAGCTTTACACCTTGTATATCATGCAACTTTGGTTGTCATAAGAACCTCAGGCTGGAATTATTACTAAAAAGAGGAAATTATATTTTCGCGAGCAGCTTTTCGTTGTGGTGTACACATTTGCGGTGATTAGTGGAAACTTTAAGCAAGGTCATTAATAGAATTATGCTGATATAATCTGTCTCAATCTTCATCGTGCTTGCTTTTGTCCTCAATTATGGAAGTTATGGTCTGTTCATAGATATAACAAGGTGACCAATTGCTTTTGAATGGGATTATCCAAGGGTGGTCAGTAACATACAATGCAACAAGATTATTACCTAAAGTTTCGGATTTTAAATTCAGGTAAAATTGTGGTCCGTAATAGAAAATAATTTTATACCTACCTGTGTATAATATTCTTTGGTTTGGTATACGATTTAGTTTAAGTTTATTAGTAATCATTCTTATTTCGTGTGTAATACAGCATGTGTTGAATCGTGTGCGAATTATGCAAAATATGTGCGAGTCTAGTGTATCTCAGGAGATGCTCCCGCCCAAATGTAGAAAACACTATTCTATTGAGACTAAGGAAGTTATAGACAATGTTTATTTGACTCTTTGAGCTTTAGAAGAAATAGCCACATTGACGAAAATTCCAACATCAACTCTATGGAAAATTATGAATAATCCCATTTCAGCGAGGAAAAAAAGAAGCGATGCTGACATTTTCTCGAGTGTAGATGAGAATGATTAAGATATAATACGACGTAAAATTTACCAGTCATACGAGGAACAAAGCGGGCCTAAATTAGATATCTTAATTAGAAGGCTTGAAAAAGATGAAACCGGTGTTAAATGTGGCAGAACTACCTTATGCAAGTGTATTCAACACATGGGTTTTAGATTTAAAAAAACTGACAAAAGGCAAGTTTTAACGGAATTTTTAGAATTCGGAAATGGCGACTAGAATATCTAGAAAAAAATAGGATTTACAGAGAACAACAAAGGCCAATTATTTACTTGGATGAAACATGGTTCGATACTTATGATAACCCGGAAAAGGGTTGGGTTGGCTCAACTGATCAGGTGTAAAACAAACGCGCTATCAAACAGAGGTAAAAGAATAACTATTTTGCATGCTGGCTCTAAAGATGGTTGGATTCCAAATGGGCTTTCTCTGTTTGCGAAAAATATTAAAGATTCTTCTCTGGATTACCAATGAAGACACCACCGCTGATTTATTTGAAAATTGGTTTAAAAACAAACTAGTTTGAAACATTCCTCCTAATATCGTAATTGTAATGGACAATGTAAGTTATCACAGTAGACAGTTGACTAAAACTAAAAAATAACTACATTGATTTTCACGAAGATTATACCAAAAAGCAATTAATTGAGGTTCTACAAAGCTTGAACCTACAAAAGGAATACGTCTGTAATAATTATGCAATACAGGGGCATACAGTTTTAAGGCTTCCACTATACCACTGTATATCTAATCCCATTGAACATGTTTGGCACCAACTGAAATCTGTCATCCGTCGTAACAATGTTTTTCCCCGTGTTAACTCCAAATTCCTCAAACTTATACAAACCGAAGTTTTTAACATCCCTCCACAAAGTTGTGCAAATTCTGTTAAACATATAGAAAAAGCAGAACAATCGTATATCCATATTGCAAATAATATAAAACAAATAATAATTAGAACAGGCGATGATAGCGATAGTGATACTGATCTATTATGTGAATAATTTTAAGTAATTTAAGTAGGTAATAAAAATAATTTGTAATTTTATTTTACATTTAAATATAAATACATACATAAATAAATAAATACTGTTTTGTATCTTTCCTAACAAAACCTGTTCGGCGATATTTCATTCTTACAGCTTGCCCGGGTCTTTCCTTAATTCGTATCAGTTAGTCACTTTCTTATATCTATGAACAGACTATACCTGCCAAAGTTAACCCGGGTTCAGTAGGTATTAAAGGACAGAACATTGGGGATGGACTTTCAAAGGTTTTCATAATTTTTTTTTGTTTATTTAGCTGGGTATAATCTTATTAAATTACACTAACAAAAAACAATGACATTAAATCTAATCCTCTCAATTGGTATGTTATTAATTTTTTTACATAACATTTTTTTATATAAAACTGATACTTAAAATAGGAGCAACATTTTCTGAGCCGATCTTTGAATTTATTTGTTTCCACAAATGCTTTAAAATTTTTTAAAGGATTGTTTTGAAACCATTCTTCTAATAGTTTGGTTGTATCTTCATGATAATCCAAGGTGGAATCCTTCATATTCTTTGCAAACAACAGCAAGCAGTTTAGGATAAATCCTTCCTCTGACTCAGAGTTTGAAGGTGCTTTCGTCAGAAACATTTGAGTGGAATAAACCATGTTTCATCAAGGTAAATTATGGATCTATATCTTTTAATTTCTCCAACTGTGTAATCTGTGTGAGTCCATTACTACTTGCCTTTTGTCTTTGTCTTTGTACTTAAATCCCATCTATAGAGGGTGGCAAGGCTTATATTTATATTGGTTTCAGCTTCTTTTTCAATTTATCCAAGGTATCAACAACTTGGGGTTGATAAAATTTTCCTTATTAGGTCCTGATCACTATGAGGCTATACGGTGAGTTTGAAAATCACTACGTTTATTCCTTTTTTTCAATTCTCGACAATATAGGCGTTTTTGAGTGTTGACAGGTTTCTTTTAAAGCTCATTGTTAAAGAATTCCTCTACTGATTAAAGTTTTATACACATTTTTCACGGCCTGTTTTGCAACAACCGACAAATGGTTTCGAGGCGACACGAAAACGCACAGTAAAAAAGATTATTCAACACTGCCACAAATGGTCAACACTTAAGAACTATAGCCTTGCCGCTTAAGTAAGAATAATTTTTTTGTTAATGGAATTACCTAATAACAATTGGTAATAACATTGTTAAAACTTTATTGGATATATTTTTTTTATGTAATTAAGGTAAATTTGATCGAAAATATATGTAACTTAGCTTCCGTAGAAATAGAAAAATATGAGGGACGATATATTGGAAAAGTCCAAAACAACATTAATAACTAAATATCTATTTTTAACGTCAGCAGTTTGATTTGTTGGTAAACTTTGTGAGTGTCCGTCACTGCGATTACTTATATATAAGATATATTTCTTCCTTTGACTACATTTTTTGTTGTAATGTCAAAACGGCTTTTTAATATCAAAATGAGTATGTGTAGTGGTGTGGTGGTGGTGTAGTAATTAAATTTATTTTATTTTACTTATTTGTAGTCAAATTTGTTCACTTATTTTTATATTTTCTTTCTTATTAGTGTTATTTTTGTTCAGTTCGAAATATGGACTACTAAATATAATATTTAAAGAGTTTGCTTTGCTTACCTGTCGTTATTTATTTAATAAAAGCAAAATCATTGCAATATTTGCTGGCAATTTAAGTTGTATTTAGTGGTGAATCTTTAGGTAATTTTTGATAGAAGTGGTAATTTAGTGCACAAATATCCACTACCGAAATCCCCCTCGTGTTATGTTAGTTAAGCTTATATATCAGAAGTAAATATTTTAAAACAGATTCTATTAGATTTTCAAACTTTTTGCGTATCGAACGAAAAAAAAGGTATTTTTAGGATGAACAACGACAATCTGTAAGATGAAAGGGGCGTTAATAGGAAGCCTCTCTATATCTAGAATTTGCATCGTTTGTCGGTTTCATTTTGGGGTACTCTGTGTATAAACCCAAAAATCCGTGCTCATATTCAAAGATACTAATTCCGATTTTGGAAGAAAAATCCCGACTTCGGTTCATTCGTTGTTACTTTAAGATAATAGTTTTATGTAAAATAAAGCGACACATACACGCAGGCTAATCCCAAAAAAATTCTTTTTTGAGATAATTTTCCTCTTTTTTTTCACTGGTCTCTTGAACGAGGGCTTTAAAATGTCCCCTTTGTTGCGCCGGACAAAGCGGGCTTTTCAGCGCGAGGGCGCCTCGGACACGAAGGCTCTTGGGGAGGACATTAGGATTTATAAGAGGATTTCTTTATGAATCCCTGTAGTTTATAACTTACCATACGTATATAGGTATAAGACGTCTTTCTCCGGGACCGTAAATACATATTAATAAAAGTTTGCTTGCGCAGGGTGGTCTCTTTTACGCCGTAATATGGCATGAAATTTCAATTACCCAGAGCGCTGCTATTACGTTAGTAAATATAAATCATCGATTAACACAAAAATAAAATTTATATAATTTTGCATTTTTATTTTTGTTTTCGAAACAGGTCCATACATCTGTGCTGTTTTTGGGTGTGTGCAACGTTTTAATGTATTTTAGAAAAAAAAATTGCTCCCATTATATTAGGAAAAAATCGCATTTAAATGCACACGTTGAAAATAAAATTAAAATTACATAAATTAAGAAACAGTTAATCACTAACCCATACGGAAGTATAAAAAAAATTATACAAATTGCGTACTAATTAGTGTGACCAAAAGAGCTCTTAAAACGTACTTTATGAGATTTTTCCAGGTTGTTTTAAATCGGTAAAGTTATTGTTTTTACTTTCGTTTTATGTATTAATTTCCACTGGTATTTATGAAATAGGTATCAGTAAGATGTCGCTAACAGATAGGAATATAAATTTTTTAAAAAACATGTTGAAACTGCACGCGCATACCAAATATTCGTCGG